GAAGGGCTCCTGGCCTTGGTAGTGTGGTAATCTGAGCCGCTCCTGAAACATCTCCTTGCTGTCAGCATGCAAGCGGAGCCCCTGCCAACGGAAAGACACTGGGAGTTGAACCCGTTGAAGGCGACCGGTTGCCTCAAACCACCGGAACCAGCATTCCATACCTACTTGAGCCATGCAAGCCTTCAAAATCCACGTCGGTGCTTTGCTCATCTTCGAGGTTTTGGGTGCGTTTGAGGCTTTGAGTGGCCCAGCCTTGCCGGGGAAGTATTGTCGCACCATCACCTGAAGCAATTCATCTCCATAGTCCTTAGATGATTTCAAGATGCGGTGTCCAGTTCGGTGGGTTAAAGGATCAACACCATCCTACATCCTGCGGTCCTGCTCCCTGGAGTGGACCACGGTCCCCAGCACCGTGCCGTGGATGGCTTGGTGTTTCCCGGATTTCGCTCATCAGCCGGTGGTGGTCTGAATTTGGCTCTGTCGGTTACCAAGGGTGGTTGATGGTGGTTTGGGCAGTGAGTACTTGTGGGGGCTAGGTGCAGGGGGTCAACACGTGCGCGACAAGGCACCTTGGGGTCAATGTCGAACTCCTTTTGCGTCAGCGTCATTAAATGAGCACAAGCTGGGTAGTTTTCGGGCCCTGGCAGCCTCCTGGCAACGTCTCACCCGAGATCGATCCGATTCGAAAGGGCCAGGCCATTGTGCTGGTACTAGTAGCTTCTTGCTCCGCTGGTAGCGATGCCCTTTGTTCCTAGTGGCTTCTTGCTACGGCCAAATGACGACACCAGATTCGACAGGACCCCAAAGTGACAGGAGGTGTGACAGGCAGAGCCTTCCCGTGGAGTCCTCAGTTGACCTCCGTCTCGTCCTCCACGGAGAGAGGAGAAGGAATAGGTCATCTCCAATTTTCGCTGATCTGGCCGCATCTGCCGTTCCAGTTCGAGCCTTGCGATCATTCATGGGAAGTTCAGGAAATGAGGTGGCTCAGGTGATATAGCTATGTGATATACTATGGAGTTCAATTTGCATACTATGTGTACACATGTGTACACTCAGGGAATCATGTTGGTGATATTCTATGTAGCTATGCAATTCAAAAGACATCCAACATGATTTCCTGCGATGCTTTTGATCTACTGTCTCAGGTGCAAATTTTGGGGTTGTTTCTCTTCGGACAAAGGTCTATCCTGACATGAAAACATAGCGTGAGAAAGGACCGGCTGATAGCAGCTGGATCGTGTTTGCCTTGCGTTCTGTGCAGCTGGAAGTGGTAGCTGGACGTGCCGCAAGCCCACGGGAATTGCTTCACATCCTGAAAAGAAGCTTAAGCGCAAGAAAGGATCTTTCAGACTTCAGGAGCTGTCCATTCCATCTTTCCAGGATACCTTTGCCAAACAAACTCCTAAATCAATCGAAATGCATTGCTGCATGAGGACAGAATCGCTGGGGGCGACTGTCAGGACAATCAAAAAGTTCTATGAAGTAATTCTATCGTCCATTTAAAAACAAAGGGCCCTTGCTCTTGCCAAGCCAGTGACCGTCTCCGAATTTTCTCCCCCCCCGTGGCTGCACCAAAACGCCCTGTCCTGAGCTAAGCCATAGGAATAGGACATACCAATGAAGTGCTCCATCTCGCATAAGCTGGCTGGCTAAGAGTGTGAAATCCAAGGCCGTCCAAGTCCGATTTGTGGTTTCTCGGTTCAATGAACAGTGCCGTGGAACTTTCTCAGAAACCGAATAGGAAGTTTCACGGAGGCCAATCCCTTTCCATATATATACATATATAATTATATATATATATATCTTTCCATTTGGCACTTCACTGAGCCGATCCAGTCTTGGGAGGCTTGTCTCCGGCTTGTTGTGAATCTATCCCAGCGCTTTGCCAAAAATGCAGCTCTTCATTCAAACCGCATCTCACCAATGCTGACATCCATGCAAAGCACAAAAATAGACTTTAGGTCGAAGGGCAGTATTTCAAGGAGTGCTGCTATGATGCGCTATGTGCCGCTGCTAGTTCAATTGTGGCTCAAACATGAAGCTTGAAATGGCCACAACCAGAAAACAGAATGGATCGACCCGACTCACCCCTGAGCTGTTTTGCGGCTTGCTCCGGTGGGAAGGAACGCTTCCAAAGCTCCTCGACCCCTTCTCTTGAGTGGCTCCAACCGTGGGCTCTCCTAAAGAAAACGAAAGACAAAACGAGTCGTCGAATGACACAGCTCGAAGGGCCGAAGCTCAACACGAAAACCACGCGTTTTTCTGACGGGGACCGTTCGACGAGGTTCACGCCACTGGGAAATCACCATGTTTCCCCGGTGTCTCCAGCGGTTATTCCTGGGTTGTAGCTGAGTGCCGCTAATGCCATTCATTTAACACACCAGGCTTTTGATCTTTGCAAGTCCTGATCCGTATTTCTATGATAAGAACAACTGAGATCTGATGATCTGGCTCTCTGAAATTACAACTGCATGTGAAACAACTGACAAAGAATCCTGCCTTGCCTACCTTCTCTGCTCTTGCGAAATTGTAAGTCAAGGACCGGATGAAGAAAACGCCATAAAACGCCATCTGGAAATGGCTGAACAAAGAGGATTCCCCTACAAAAACTAGTTCGGACATAGCAGTCATGTTTAGACCAACACCTATACTTTTTGGTTGTCTTTTTTGCAAGTCATACTAAGTCATAGCTTTAGCCAAACTGCCAAACAAGAAGTCACCAGATCAAGTCTGAGAACCATCCTGCCAGCTCCTTGGACCATCTGACATTTGGGGTATTTGGGGCAATTGACTTGAGAACCGGGAAGCCCTGGTTTTTGAGTGTTGAAGCTTTCATGTTCATAGTGGTCACTCAGCTTACAACCCCCCCGAAGCTAAAGATCAATTGAGCAAATTTCACAAATGAAACACTACAGGCGACGTTCAACTCACCACGAAAGCGTGGAAGCCTGGCAAGAGAAAAAAGGCGTACAAAACCCAGAACATCAGGAGAAAAGCATCGTGCTCTTAAACGGACTCACTGCTCAGTGTGGCGCAATGGCCAAGGGTTCCCAGTGCGTCCAAGTGCTGGGGCAAGACTCACCCAACCAGAACTAACCCAGCTTGAGGCATGACTTGCTACACACAGTCAACCTTTCACACAGGGCGACTTCAAATGGCGTTTCCAACACACCCAAATAAACATTTTAAGACCGGGACAAGTTCACGATGTCTATGTATATTTTTGATTGTCAGTTACAGCTTAGTTTTTGGTATAAACGTTCTCTCTCTCTCTCTCTGTCGGACTCCAGTGGAAGAGAAAAGGAGATATTTGGACGATGGCCAGTTCCAATCTCTGAGGCGTAGGACACTCCACACTCTTCATCCGTAGCGTAGGAACATCAGCAACCTGCAAGGATCACAAACAGGACCGCCAAGCCACATCGTCAAAGATAGAGGACACCAACACGGGACTTCTATGCTTCCTAGCTGGTGCAGGCTGTTGTCCACCAAATAGAGATGTGTCCAAACATGTCCAAACTCATCGATGGGCTGTTCAACTGTTTGTTGAGGAAAGTCAACAGGATGGTCAAAGGGAGTATGTAGTCACCTTCGATGATCACTTCAGGATCTTTTGACCAACCACCACGACCAGTTCTTCTCTGCTTTCCTTTCTCGCAAAAGGTAATACCTGATCATATATATATATATAATACATCGTATATCGTATACACCCAGAAAAGCGTGCCAGCCAGCCCCACCCCCCGCACCTTTGGCGGATTTCGTCTTCAGGGCGGTCCACCTGGCTACGGATGTCGCTGGTTGGATTATATACTCAGATTGGCTGGTTTGGAGCTCTGAAGTGGATCCATTTTGAGCTCTGTTGCTGATTGTTGCTCCTGCTGCGGAGAGCTCAAGTCCCCGATTTGGGCGGGGCATCGAGGTTTGACATGCAGCCACAACGGCGAGTAAATGCATGTTAATGCATCGTTTGATGCACTAGTCATGGTTTCATTTTGCCTACAAATAGAAGTTTCGCCGATCCAAAAAATTGCCAGAACAGGGATGAACAATTCCAGTCGCTGTCGCTGTAGAAAAACGTGTTGGATCATGTTGGTGACTTTTGCTCAGTGAAGCCTGTTTTTTTGCATGCTTATGTTTGCTAGAAAAAAACAGGACATGTGTCCAGTTTCCCATAGCTCGTGATGCTTGCCACCCAACCCACTGCGGCCCGAGAAGTATGTCCGTCCGTGCTCTCGGTGACCGGACCAGTGCGCCCAGGCCCACGTTGTGCAGCGCCACGTTCAACTGAGTTGAATCCGCACTATGGACCTGAGAGGTCGAGAAAACACCCCCAGGCAAATCACTGACTTCTTCGATACTTCGAGAATATGCCAAAACACCAGTAAGAACGGACACACAGAAAGACCCTATGGAGGACGTAATTACTTAGTGTGAGGCAGCAGCAGCAGCAGCAGCAGCAACAACAGTTAGCCCCACAGGTCTCCCATGGAGCTGGCCTGCAAATGATGATATTAGTACAGTCTGCAGCATGCAAAGACGTACGCCCTACAAAACGTCTCCCGTTGGCGTTTGGATGAAGGTCGCTTATGCATTTTGCTTGCTTGATCAATTGATATCCGGCTACAGCCAATCAGCTCCTGTGATTCCATTCCTACAGCCTACACCGGCAGTTAAACAGTCATTGTGACAAGAAGCAAACCCTTGCATCACACTTTCTCTTGCAATTGTGTTTTTGCCTGTCAAAGGCTTGAAGCAGAATATCCCAGGCTCAAAATAGATCAGTTTAGATATAAGATGATTTATACTATATATATTTAATAGTATATAATAGTATATATATATATACATCTACTTTCTTCACTGAGATTCCAAGCAGCACCCTCATCTGAGCCTTCGGCCCACTGCACGGTCATCCCGGTCAACTTGCAGTATCTCTCCCTGGCGTTCCCAGCGGGGTATTGGTTGACGCCCTTCTTGAACGTCTCCTGGGCGGGTGAAATGGCGTGGCAACGCGGGGTGAAAACCCAAACGACCATGGAGCTTGCACTCGTGTCGTTGGAACTCCCCCTGGATGTGTTTGTGAGCTTAACAACATGGTGTCATTGGCTTGATTGGATCTTGTTGAGTCTTGCTTTCTGGCCATCCCAATCAAGATCAACTGCTGCGATCCAGCCTTCTTGAGACCTCAAGGGCCTTGCTATTGAAGTAGATCACTAAGCTAACTGTACAAATCCAAAGCTTCTCAAAAGTGATCCATGGCGATCAGTCCAACTGTGGCTCTGCGAGGACACGAACTCTGCGATGCCCACGATGACTAAAGTGGTCAGGTGCAAAGGGCCCCCGCTTGGCCGGTGAATTTGCTTCTGGATCTATTTTTCGAAGCCCCGCTGATCAGTAGTTCTCAACAAAGGCCCTGTGCGTTCTAAGAGATGGTCAGACAGGGGGCGCGGCAGCTCAAAACTAGCTTCAGACAGGCATCTTTGTCTTTCTTCCCCCAAAGCTGGTTGATGTGGAAGAACTTCTTCCCGGCTCTTAGCGCCTTGGACAGGTCACAGCTAGAGTGCTCCAAAGACCGGCGTAAGAACTTCCTACGTAATTACAAAACGATGGTGCTAAAATCGATCCACAAAATTCTAGAGGTGGAGACGGAGAACACAGGGAAAACCTGCAAGTGTTCCACAGGTTGTACATGCCTTGAGTCAGAGAGTCTGACGGACAAAAATTCATCCGAAAGGGCCTGGCTGCCTGACCAATTCCTGACCAAACAAACCACAGGTGGGCTCCCGCGACGAGAACTCGCCTCATTGATTTGGCGCTCCAGGTCTTCCAAATGTTTCTGGCTGGTGGAGTCTTCCACCTCCGCTGGTTTGGACCAGGAGAGGGAGGTGGGATTGGGGTGGGAGATGGGAGAGTGGTGGTCCTATATGACGGGATAGGAGATGTCGGAAAAACGTGTGATTGGGATTGACGGGGTCAATTTTGAGATGAGTTTCGCTCCACCTCAGGTTGAACTGCTAGTCAAAGTTTGTGTACCAAACTGCTGCAAAAATCCTGTCACACAATTCAGAGCTGCCTCCTCATTTCATGTTGAACTTTTGCGATCTATCGGTAGCAATGGGTGACTCCAAACTAATTACAAGCGATTCACTCTATACTGACGCGCTCCCTCCGTCTTCGACCACTCCGACTTCGCCCTTGGCTCAGCCCTGCCCCGGCCTCAGCCTTCTTGATGCGCGCGGCAAATTCCGCCTCCATTCGGGCCGCGTTCGAACAGGTATACAATGGGTCTGCGTTCGGAAGGTGAACTACTATCCCATATAGTTTGGGTGTGGTTCTGGGGCATGAACAAACTCTCATGATCTCTCATGTGTCATAGAGTCTCCACAACCACGTGGAAGGAGGGCATCAAACAACAATTCCTTCGCCATGCTACCTTTTTGTGTGAGAGATTGTGAGAGCGTTCTCAGCCCGACCAGTGGGTCTGCAAACTGGAGAATCCAAGCGATGATCCAGTCTGGCCATCAAGAGACTTGTTGGATGCCAACATGCTTCAGGAAAAGAAGGCGGATGCCCCATAGATACCTGATACAATGTACCCTGGCAAGATAGTCTACATGATGCGTCAACAGGGGTCCGCAGAATTGACATGGGGCTGAAGGAGTTCATCACCGGACCACGCAGAAAACATCATGCCGCTTGGACATCACCATGACTATCATATCAAAGGGATCCAAAGGGATCCAAAGCGGCTCGCGATCAAGAGCCTTCACCAACTACCCAACCCTTCGCGGAAACAACCCCTTTCGAGAGGCGTTTTCCCATGTGGTTCGACACGAACAGTCCTTGAACCAGGGACGAAGAAAATATGTTTTCATGCGTAGAAAAGCCGGCCTATCTCAAAGCACGTTTTTCCAATCCAGGTTCTCCAAACGAAAACCAGGGGACCCATACCAGGGGTCGGCATCGAACTCACCCAACTCACCTTGTCGGCCCGAGATCGGCGCCTGCTCTTCCGCTGAGATCTGCGAGACCGTCTTCTGCACCACGGCATCCACCGCGCGTGTGCGCACCGGCTCCCGGGTGACCTGCCCCACGAGAATTTCCGGTGGCGACGTAGACAGGTCACCATCTCTGATGTTTCAGCAAATCACCGGAAATGGTCTGTTTTATATCATTGAGAATTTGCTGCAAATGGTCAGACATTGTCAGTGAAGGCGGTGCCTCCTTGCGACAAACAGGGCAAACGAACTGCTTCGTTTGCAACCACTGGTCGATGCAAGACCAGCAGAAGGTATGAGAGCACTGGATGGTCGCCGCATGGACAAGCCAGTCCTGACAGTCCATGTCATGTATCTTCGGTTTCCGACTATTCTCTTGGAAAGAATCTATCAAAACATACAGTATCTAAACCAAGCACAGCACATGAAGTAGCCGATGACTTGAACTCAAAAGTAGGCTACATTGGTTGCAACCCAGCCAGCCTTCCATGGTGGCCCTAAAAATCTCTCTCCCTGGCCAGCCCTGCACTCCTTGCAGACGCAGCAGGCCAACTCATTGGAGAGCTCCGAGATCTTCAAGCCCTTGGGAATCGCCTGCGGTTTTGAACAAATCAGCTGTCTCACACTGGTCCTCCGGTCCCATCGAGGGAGGGTTTTTCAGACTCTGGATCGCTACAGTAGTCACCATAAGTCTGTTTGCTTGATGTTTCTTCCACCGTGTCCGTGGAACCTCCAAAGCGAGTCGTGTCCGAGTGTCCGCCGCCTCGCGCTTCTTCTCGGACTTTTGAAGCTCCTGCGATGAAGCACGTGCTCGCGTGGAGCACGTGCTCGCGTCCGTTCGTGCTGCGTCCGGTCTGACCGGGGTTCGATTCACCATCTGGGAGGGGGCCGCATCACACGGTGAACCACACATGGGAGTTCCTAGGGCTGTCGTCAGCAGTGGTCCAGTCTCCCAGTCACCGAGTCGAAACAGCTTCACTTGAAAAAGTAGTAACACTGCATAACACTGCTCCTGGATTTGTTCCCTGTCCCCATGATGCCTGGGGCTTCACGGAAATTGATGCTGGGGGAATCATTGGGACATGCCTCCTTTCAAGTGTCTTTCTCGCGGGCCAAAGCTAAGCCTAAACGCTCAAAGCATTTGGTGCGGGATCCAGTGCTGCTGTCATCTGAGCTGAAACATCAGCGCTGCTGTCGCAGTCTGAGTCTGTGATGAAGTAACCAGCTCTCTTCAGAGTCTGTTGATATCTGTTGCCTCACATGATCTGTATCGCCTTCAAAAGAGTCTGTCGCTTTCACCTCCAACAGATGCTGTTTTACCTCACTTCCACATTCTCTGTATCGCACTTCATATTTGGGGTCCAGCAGCAGCATGGTGCTCGTGGTGCTCTGGTGTGAACATTCAAGATCCGACCCACTCTTTTGGCAAAGTACATGAAACATTTAGTCATTACCATATGTATAATTTGATATCAACATAAAAAGACTTCTTGGGCCTCTGGGTGCCGAATCAAGCATTGGTCCTGCTCCAGATCAGCAATCCGCTTCATCTGCACCAGCAACTGGCAGCGAAACTCAAAGGTCAGATGGCGTTTTCAACTCAAAGAAAAACACATGATTCATGTCAACCATGGTCCCCTGCGGTAAATCGGAACTGATAGGAACTGGTATCTCCATCTCCTTATGCGGAGGGACGAGTTCTGCCACCTTCTGCCACCCTGGCTACACCCTCTGCGGCGACGCCGGCATCATCGGCTCGGCCTCTTCTGCTAAGCCGCTGCTTTGTGGCGCCTGAGACACCAGTGACGCGAGAATCAGTTCACTGCAAAACAGCTGGGGGGGGACCTGAGAGCTGATGGTGACTTGGCTGGATGGTGTCCACCTCAACTATGGACTATGAGCCAGGATCTATGGACTATCCTGAATCGATGGCCCGCCAGAACGACCAGTCCAATAAGCTTTGTTTGGGGTCAATTGGGATCGTGCACTCTCAAGAAAAATTGGCTATTGTACCCCCCTTAAAATCGTTAAAATTTTTGGGGTGACGTCAAGAATGGTATTCTGTAGTGATGGGTGTGAGGAACTACAATATGAAATGACTCACCTCATCTTCACTACAAACATCTGAACGTCACCTGGGAACGTCACCCAGATTGATCCAATCGCTGCGTGGGTTAAGTCACTTCAAGGGTCTTCAAATGTTTTGGCATGGAAGCCAGATCTCAGATTAAAGATTAAACTTGATTGGCCACCACTCATGTCACTCACGTGACTGGACTGGGTTTGTGGCCCCCCAAACCACCACTGAACCTATAGGCCCAAGTTACCCAGCGATTGGATACCTGGATCACCTGCGCCGATGGTGCCAAACCGCCCAACCTTTCTTCCACCCATCCACCACCGTTCTCTTCGCTGGTCTTTCCCCCCCCCAGAACCCGACGAAACCGCTTCCGTCCGGCCGCTTTCGCCGCGCCTCGAAGATGAACTCAAACTCCGGCGGAACCACGCGTTTCCCGAAGTTCACCACGTCGCCCATCCGCAGCGTCCTGCGGTGCAGTGCGGAAAACGTGGACGCAAAGCACCGCAGTCCAACCAGCATCCAGCTCAAAGCATCCATTCAAAAGGGGCGGGATGAGAGTCTAATGACACATTGGGCCAGCTGGCACTTCGGGAAAAAGAACAAAACAGCTACTGAGGAGGACACATTTTTTGGACTGTTTCTTCATGCCTTCTTTTGGATTTGGGGGAAACACTTGTGCAGGAGCCAAGCAAAAATCTGACACAACGTCATCTGGATGATGTGCATTATGGGAGACCGTCTCCGCCCTATTACCAATAGACACACCTATCCTATTTGATGTGGCGAAGTCACAACACCGTTTCTTTCAACATGCAATATTCCAACAAAAACAAGGTGGCCCAGAAGGATGTTGGCTCAATTGACCGCCATTTTCACTGGCTGATGTTTCCTCACCGACAAAAGACAAAGACGTGGTCTGTCCTGCCCGAGACGCCAACAGCTTCGCCATTCACGGTGACACCATTCATGGACTTGCAGTCATGGATTGCCCACTCCTGCGCATGAAGAGGTGGACTCTTTGGTTCCAAAACTCCTTGTAAATTTGTGAGTTCCACCCACTTGGACCCTGTTCACCATGAAGTGTTTAGATGTTCTTTGGATTGCTTTTTATGTTGTTTTATGTTGTTTTTGTTGCTTGCACACGGTCATCCTGACAAATACCATCCATATAAAGGGTGGTGGATTCTAGATTATATTTCTTTTCAGTCTCATTCTCGAGCTTCGGGCTTACATTCATGCTTTCAATCATGGATCACCCACTTCTTGAGGTATTTCAGCTTGCTTGGGGGCTTCTTCAAGTTGCTTCAAACATCTGCAGACCGCCCCCACACTCAACGAATTTAACGAATTGAAGTGGGAAAATCACATGCGAGATCATATGAGATCCTTGAGTGTTGCCTGACCGGTGCAGACATGTCATCCAACTAAACGAATCTCTAGCCATGAAAGAAACCCATGAAAGAACCATTGGTTTGTATCTAGATAAAGACAGTCTTACATTTTGCTCCAGCTCCAGGATGCTCCAGGTACATATTCAGGCAAGTGGTGTCCAATGGACCTCAGTCCCATGTTTCACCCTCCCTCCCTTACTCTGATAGCTCGTCCATGCTCCTGCTGAGGGGTGCCCACGTTGGTGGTCACGAGGCGCGCATGCGTGCGGGAGATCATCTGCGGAAAGCGGGTGGAGTCCATGACGATGTCACAGTTGGGCATGCGCCCCACCGTCAAGGACTCCTGTCGCGTCGCGCATTACGCGTCGGCGAAGGCTGAGAGAGACTTGAAGGGTCAAGGGATGTCAAGGGCCTAAAGGAAGTGAAATGAGAAAGACTGGGTGTTCACGGGATCACCCGGGATTTACGGGTTTATGATGGTAGCTTTAGTATAATATAGTATTAGGATGTATTAGGGTTTTGGGGTCTCCAGCAAGTAGGAGCAAAGCATTGTAGTTCATGAGTCAAAAAACATGGAATTATTTGGAAGTCCAAGGCAAACGATGTTCCTTCAGGTCTGGTTCACATGACCTTGGAGAACCACGAAGCTTGAATCGAGCACGCACAGCGGAAACGACGCATGTATCGCGTCACGCGTCATGGCCAGCGGAAGTTCAGCTCCGCAGCAAAACACTGCCAGAAACAGGGGGAAGTGGTGGAGCCGATGTCCACCATCGCCTAAAAACAGAGATCTGCACGAAAAAGCCGTGAATTGATTGGACAGGGAAAAGGTTCCCAACACCCCTCGCGAAACAGAAAGGGACGACCACAGAAAACCGTGGCTGACTGGCCTTGTTGAAATAGATCAGTTGGCTCACCGTCGTGGAGGGTCGGCATTCAGCAGAAAGCCTGGTGTTGGCCGCTTTGTGGCCATGGAGATGTTGCAATCCAATGTGGATGAGTTACCCAGGTTAATGTTGGGTCCCTGTCAGCAAACACTTGTTTGATATGCTGATATGTTGCAAAATTGGGTCGGGTGAATGATGGTGAATGAACAGTGGCCTCGGAATCTGCCCTACATGTCTACTTATTAGTCTAATTACTTCCAACTCCTCTTGAACATCGGCTTTCTCTTGCCAACCCCTACACAAGAAGTTTGGACATGTCATTCATCAGAATCCAAGAAAGAAACAAACAAACACACTTGGACAAGATTCAGCTTGTCGGGCACCCAACTGTCACACCTTCCCTCCAAAAAGACCTCGATTTCTCCAAGAGCCACCACCATTGAAGTAATGTTCTGATCAGACTCATCCCTGATTCCCAAGAACTTCCAAGAACTGCCACGTTGTCACAGTCAGCTTCTCAGGTGATTTCCTTGAGCCATATTCACCTCAGGGTCTTCACCATGCAACCCGATCCCAGTGGCCTCAAAAAGGCGATTCCTCTGTCCTGGCGAAGGATGCCAGAGGTATCACGTGAGCGGGTGCATGGCTGGTAGTACGCAAGTTCTGTTAAGTTCTGTCCATTTAGGATACACCATGATGCACCTATCATAAAAAGAAATCCGGTGCACACTGAAATGCCAACCAGACCAAACATGCTAGGGTTGTCCTTCTCTCTGGTGGCAGGGTTCTTCATTCCAAAGTGGGGTTGGGGTTGTCTTGCGCCCGAGTGTGTCTGGCGTGCTTGATTGCAAACGCCATAATCTGATGCTCCCGACGAGCAATCAGCAATGCGCGTCCCACAATCAGGACTGAATTCCAACCAAACTATATCAAAGTCACTTGTGGTTGAGAGAGTTAAGCAAGATTCCGTAGACTTGGAGGGTGCACACTGGACAAGACTCTGAACATTCCGAAAAAAAAACATATTCATATTGTAGCTACAGGTAAACGACCGAGAACTACCAACAAGTCGCACCTGGTTTTCCTTGAGCCAAACGGTAGGTAAGTGAGACATGTATTAGACATCCTAGCGTGAAACAACACCCCCCGCTGAACGAAAATGGGAGGAGTGAAGTTATGTACAGTGCACTAATTAAGGACCTACGAAGGTATCCGGTCCCCCGGTACGTGCGAAGCATCGAACCGGAACGTGCCTTGAGATGGAGAGGATGGTTGACCTCAAGGACGGATCACATAATGCACTGTGATGCTTTGATGCTAGGGTTGAACATGTCTCAACTGATTCATGCATGAAAGTTCAAAGCAAGCTCACAAAGATAATCTCTTTTGCGCAGCGGAACTGGGAGTGCAATGCCAACCTTTTAGAAAGCAGGAACAAAGCCATCAAGGCACACGCTCCCGCGTGGCGACAAACACAGCAAAAGATGTGCGCTCTTCATTGCAAGGATTGAGAGCCAAGTTCATCGACCTGAACTCAAACGAATTAGCTGCTGGTTTCAGGCATCCGGTCCCCCGGTGCATCACAGAAACGGTCATCCAGGCAACCGCTCCCGCGGTGCGTTGAGGGAAAACACAGTGCACAAAGACAGCCAAGTCACCCGTAGATTTCATTCTCTTCTCCACAGGCAACAGCTCCCGCTGTGCGTCGTGTTCACCACCTGCGCTGACTCCACCAGTCATGTCCTCGCCAGTCACTGCCACGACCGCGATCATCTTGCCACCAGTTGCGGTTGGATGAAGACCACCAGGAAGACGATGAGGATGACTGCTGCCAATCATGGTATTGATCACTACCGGCAGCTCCTCGCCAGCGATGCTCTGATGTCTCTGCTTGAGTACGTGTAGCTCTTGCCAGACTTTCACCTGGACCTGGTGCGGCCTTGGCCTTGGGAATCACAAGTGCCCTTGTTTCTTTCACAAGGTTGATATCCAAGCCAGGTACAAATTGAGCATCGCCCATCACGAATTCCAGGAGTTCATCCAAGACGTCATCAGGGTCTGTCTTCTCACTTCGCCACTCACCTCCAAATCCCAAGATTGCGGGTCGTTTTGTACCTTGACAATAGTCCGCAGCGAAAGTCTCAGGTCGGTGCAGCCTGTTCTTCCAATAAATGAAGAAGTCCTCGCTCAGGTCAGCATCATTCCCTTTTGCTGGTTCGTTCATGAAGATGACTTTCCCAGCATAGCGATGACCGACGCCTCGAGCAATCATTTCCCTTGTCCTCGGAGGGTCAGGGATGACGGCATCTGATAGGCGTTCCAGGAATTGAATGCAGATTGGAGAGAGGTCCTGGGCCGCACAGTTGAACGCGTAGAAAGCGTCAGTCAGCTGTCGCTGCGATACTGTCATGGACATTTTCTCCGCCTTCTGGACATGGCTTTTGGCGTTCGCTTTCAAGATGTTGATGCCCGAACGAGAAGCACGTTGAACTTCATGGCCAGGCGTCCCCGCCGGCGTCCTCCTCACACCTGTTCCTTGCAGCCTGTCCTCAGGTACCATGTCCATCGTGACTTCGATACCGAGATCGGATGCAATTTCCTCGATCCGAATGAGCTGGGCAGCTTTACATAGATCCGAGGCATTGTTGAGGAAGGTGCCGCATGTGATGCAGGACATCATGCCATGGGTGTAGGTATGTGTGCATGTCGGGCATTGATCTTCTGGCATCTGAATGCCCTCAACGACCATCCATCGAGTGTTGCCATACCCCTCGGCTTCAGGGTGGACCTTGCGCCAATCAAACCGTGGTCGGTTGTAATTGGGCAGCATCTCTTTGGGTGACACTTGATTCTTGTAGGCGTTGAAATTGGGCCTGCGAACGACATACGTGACCTCGTATGTTTCTAAATCAGGATTCTGCTTCCCTGATACCATTTGGTCTTTCACGCCTGGGCGTTCAAACAGTTCACCGTACACGAATGGGGAAAAGGTGTCCACCTTACCGCACCATCTCTCATAGTCACCAAGGACCTGGTAGGTGTACTTTTCCAGTGGGCTTTTCACCATTTCATCGTCATCGGCAACTGGTCCCCCAGTGCGTGCTGAATTGAAGGCTTTGGTTTCACCGGTGATGATGCCGCGATAGTGTGCGTACACATGGTTCGCGAAGGCGTAGCATCGGGATTCCATGTCATACACGTAAATCACGTTCCGGTTTGCCAGCCAGTCAGGGCATAGGATTGTACCAGCAGTGGTCTCAATGAGCCGGTGCCCGTTCAACATCATCATTTGGAGATCCAAGGCAACGCAGATGGGGCGAGTCGCCGCCATCGCTGCATAATCGGTGCCTGAAATGGTCCACGGATCTTCCTTCGTCAAGAATGTGAATCTGGCTCCGGTTCGATTGCCGCCTGGAATCAATCCCATGTTGATGATCTCAACCAGTGCTGCCCGGTGCGCGTAGTGATAGAGGATGGTGGGGGCCACCTCCTTCACCTTTCCCAGCGCACCTCGCGGAACCCGAGGGAATTTGCCGGCCTGGTATTCCACCGAAGTATACTCCTCGTCGAGAGTGACAAAGCGTTCATGCTCAGGAAGTGCGTCTTGCACGTTGTTGCTTGACCATTCATTATGGTTCTGAATCGCTTTGATCCGGAGAGGCGTATATTGGTATTTTCCACCGACCAAAGTCCCCTTTGGCGCAATCCTCACCTCGAGCATGAATCTGTGATTGGATGTAATGACCGTCAGCAGGTCATCGTTGGTAAGGTTGACATCGTACTTCCGCTTGATAAACGAGTACACCTTGCCAAAATCCATCCACAGCCCAGCGTCGAAACTTGGAGGCTGCACCTTGTGCCAGGATTGTTTACTATGCTCCCAGCCACGGAGCAAGCCCGAGACGCGTCGGGAAATCCAGACTTGTTTCGAGTTCAGATTCGCCAAATTGGCAGCACCAGGAACCGATCTTGACTGCAATGCCACAACTTCGTTTTCCCCAAGAGGCGACGAAACGGGAGGCACCGGTGGTGCCCGAGGCATGGCCTTGGCTTTGACAGCTGGTTTTGCTGTCGGAGTCGAATCCGAGGCCACAGCTCCCGCCGGGCGTTTTGGTACTTTGGGCTGAGCTTCCTCTGTTGGCTTCATCTCAACATCGGCCTCAGCTCCCGCCGGGCGTGCTTTTGCCTTCGGTGATGCCGGTTTTTTGTCTTCGACTTTGCAGTCTCGCTTGGCACTTTTGGTGCCCCCGGCTCACTGATGCCTTCGCCTTTGGGATCCTCGGTTGTGGTGCCTTGTTGGCCAGGTCGGGCTCGTTCCCCAGAGTTGTAACCTCACGGAACTTCCTGAGTGCTTCACCAGTGAGCTGAGGGATGTCTTCTTCTGCCATGTAGATGCGAATGACATCGCTTTCATCCTCCTTCTTCCTCAACTGGTAGGTTACTCCGGCGACCTGACATGAATCGGCATGCATAGATGTGAGAATCGGTTCCTTGAAAACAATCTCCTCATCTGAGTCATCATCTGGCTGATCTTTGTTTTCAAAGCCCTGTTTGATGGCGGAGTCAAGGTGATCTTTGAGAAGTTCATTGACATAGTTTTCATCCGCAATGGGTTCATTGGATACATGAAGCTCCTCTTCTTCCGTGATGGTAACAGGGTCCACCTCGGTGTCACCGTGCTTCGGCATATCAGCGGTGACGGACACGAACTCCATGCCCGGAGTGCTCACGGGAGCCTGGTTGTTTGCATCTCGACCTTCCGTCCCCGGAGGCGAATCAGCGCTGGGCGCAAAGGTGTCGTCAATCTCAATGACTTCCGGCACACTTGCATCCGGCATTTTCTGATCAGCCGTCGACGGTTCAGCCGCGACTTGCACATCCTGACCCTCGTCATAGACATCCGGACCAACGGTTCCCCGTGGCATATTGTACAGTCGCTGATTGAATGGCAAGAGCTTGGCAGCTGCAATCTGCTCCTTAGTCGCATAGACGGGGTCCCCAAGATCATCCATGTGAGCGACCTCATCAGTCTCAGAGACCGTCAGGAGCCAGCCATTCTTTTGGTCAATGGCAGTTTGCCTTTTCTGTCCCGGGACAATTTCATAGTGCTCGTCAAAGTCACCCAAGAAAAGGTATCCGGAGTCAATGCGCCGCTTCCAGATGTGCTCAAGCATGTACTGGCGGTTGGTTTTCTCCCCACGAGGTTTCGCGAAGAGGTTCGCATCTTTGCGCAATACATCAACGCCAGCGAGCACCCAGTAGTGGTAGGCAAACAAAGCAACGTTAGCGTAGAACTTCACAAACATTGCCCGGTTCTCTTCGGTGTTGTGGCAGTGGAAGTTGTCATACCTCTGACACGAGCGAACCAGGGTGGTGCCTGTCACATTCGTGACGCCAAGGCGAGTGAAGACATCCGCTGACTGGCACATTTGACGGGCGAATTCTTCCGGCAGTCCATAACTCTGCGAGTCGCAGTAGCAGATGACGATCAGAGCTGCCACATCTTTCCTCTGCCTCAAGTCCGCCAGACGCCTCATCTGCTGGGCGTGTTTTTGTGCCAGCTCTGCTTGCCATTCATAGGCTGCTCTCTGCTTGGCAGGATTC